ACACGTAGGTTAGTAAAAGTTTTTTTTTTAATTTTACGCGGCCGGTGTTGCAAGTGATAGCTATTTTACATATAAAATCACTTCATCCATTTTAAATCCTGAGAATTTCTTAACACTTTGTACAATTTTCAACAGTCATCATTCGAAGTGATTCGCGGAAAGATTTCGACCCGATTTGTTTTCTTAAAACAACTTCATGAGAGATGACGCATCTGCGTACATGTAAGCAGTGGGTATATGTAATATATAAAAATAGATAATCAATCGTGCGTCGAGAGTTTGAACAATGCATTATATTCGGACGAGATACCGAACCGTGGTAGAGCCCGCTTTAACATCTTCGCACGTATTGGCCCGGCTCGCCCGGTGAAATACCACGACCACACAGAAGACAGGCGTCAAGTGGAAGCTATTCCGCGTACAGTCTGTTGAGTATGCGTCCCGGAGGCCTAATTTAGTCCTCTTTCCCTTCCCACCTTTTTTATTATAAGGAAAGGATGGGAAGTGGAACTGGACTTTTCGGATGAGAGGATGCATGGAAAGGGAATATATTTTCTTTCTGTGCATCCTCTCCTCCGTCGTTTAAAGGTAGGCAACGCATATGCAATTGCGTATGTCTATGGGCAACGTTCACTTCGCTATATCAGCGATTTCAGGTGGCCGCTCGCTCGTTTGCCACCTTATGATGTAAAAAAAGAGAGAGCTATCGGAATGTATTGCGTGAACAAATCTTATTAATATAATAAATGCGAATGTTTGGATAGATAGATGTCTGATAGAAGGTGAAGAACGGCTGCATGGATCTCACTGAAATCGGCATAGATCATACTATGGAAGGAAACATAGACAACTTATTAAGTTTTTTATTTAATTGCGCGCGGAAAAAGTCGCTGTGGGCAGCTAGTACAAAATATTACAATGGTTTCCACGGTAGAAACATATGTTAATTTGGTATTTATATGGATGTTTTTGCAAATTTATTGCAAGTAATTTGTCACAATGATAATTAGTTAGCTAGTTTGAATACCGCAATCAAAATGAGGGTAGGTTGGAAATTTAAAAAATTCTGCGCATCTATACAAAGATCACTATTAAAATATCGTCTTTATAACCTCTGACTACCCCTATAATAAATATAGTCGTTGTATTTGCTTCACATATGGCTTTCATTAAGCAGGTGTATCTAGTATCAATCTAGTTTCCCCTTTATAATGAATCGCAACATAATGGTATGCTTGTTGGATATCCCCCAAGTTACCCTCCTCTCTATAACTACATTGAATTATAACACTTATGTACACGTTCTAAGGTTGGAAATGGTGTGAATGTTGTACACACCAGGATGGCGCCGTCTACAATTTTGGCGCCAGACAAGTATTTAACGGAGACACCCTTTAATTATTTTTATAAAAGATTAGCTTCCCCTGTACATGGGACCACGCTTTTAATGTCTTTACCGTCCCCATTTACTGTGAATATCCGTTAAATTTTATGATGTTTAACACATTCAATACTATAACGATTTTTAGGCGACTTGATTATTTTTTTTATTGGAAGATTTAATGGCACTGAAAGTGTTAACACTATAATATGTATCCACTAACTGTCGTCTGCGACTTCGTTCGCGTGGAATTACTAACTTAATAATAATTTCCTTTAGACTATGGTCTACATCTATGACAAACTTCAGCGTGATCTATGCAGTCGTTCTGGAGACACCTAACATCCATGCATCCCATATCCCATACATTCGCATTTATGATATTAGTAAGATAGTTTTAGACATTATTAGTTATAATACTTTGGCGCGAAAGGCTTTCGTTACAAAGTCACGTGGCAAAATGATTAGTGAGGGGACATAAACATCGACATTTTAGTAAGACTAGTGTTGCGTCAGTACAGACACAGTATCGGATTTTTTTCCTTACAATAGTAAGAAGTAAGAGAATTAACATATCTTGAAAAACGCATACAAAGTAGACATCAAAATTTGTTCATTACAGTTATTCTTAGATTTAGCGAAAGAAAAAAGAAGTCTTGTCTACTTACACAGATCGATCATAAATCTATCGTATCGAGTTTTTGCCGCCACTTTAAGAATTCGTATAATGATGCCTCAAATTGATGGCGGGACGAATTCTAAATTGCATCTTTAATTTAACATAGAGATAGTTGTTTGGAATGCCGTCGGATTGCAAACGTTTAGAAAGATAAAGAATAAAAACTGTTAAGAAAAAATCCGCTTCAAGAGTCCACGAGGTTAAGTCGAAAATTACTTTTCGGTTGTTAATCAAATATTTGATATTTGCACAGTCTATCAAATATGCTAATTTACAACTTATAAACAAACTAACCTAAGTCTAAATACTCTATATGTACTCTATATTTGTGGTACATTTGACAACAAAACCAGGATAAGTAAAATATATTTTGTGACATTTATACTCTTAATATTTTAGTCAATATTTCTGTCCATCCATTACAATAGTAAAAGCTTGAACATAAATACAGCGTAACTGTTGAACACGTACGCAATTAAAAGCCAAGTCGCCATTGTTAGAGAAGTGGTGAAAGCGGATCCCGTTGGGTGCGCGTGAATCAGTTTATAGTGATTAAATACCCGTTTTACAATTTATCTTCATTTCAAAACAAATTTTAAAAAATACAAGAAAACAATTAAATTTCTTTCATAATCAATGTCATCGAAATGCATTTATCGAATATTTTATCAGTTAATCCGAAGGAATCGTCCGGTTTTAATATTTTAAGTGGATTAAACAAAGAGAATTTAGAATAAAAAGTATAAAAGGTAAAGTTAGTACAGATAATATCAGCGTCTAATGAGTTATGAACGCTATCTATCATAGTCCCGCTGGCTGAATGGACAGCTTACCTTTGCCTTGGGGTGTAGCGGGCGTTGTCTGTGACGTCACTGGCGCCCGACGTTTCGGCGCGCGACGCACACATGTTAATGTAATTTACGAATTGTTTCAATACTTATACGTTAAGTATAGTTAATATCGTTCAAAAAGTTATTAGAATGTTAAATAAAAAGAATAACGAACATTTTAATAATAATGATTCAGTATTACTTCAGAAGAATTTCGTATTTGATTCGTTATTCGCTATCCGAAGTAATACATTGTATATGGGTAACATGTGAGCTATTCTGGAACATTCTGTGAGTGATTTCAACAAATGTGCTAAGATTGTTAATCCAGTGTGTCATAGACTATGACGTCACAGGAAACTCAATATGGCGGTCGTTAAATGTTAACGATGCGTTTTTTTTCGTCTATCAAGTGCTTAATTTATACCTACATACTGGGTAAAAATATACCTAACACCTAAAAAGTTTTCACATTGTAAGAAAAAATAAAAGTGTCATACTTTAATGGTATTAATCAAATAATGCAAGTAACAGATAACAATAAGAACTAAAGACATTTTATCGATACGTTGTTTTCAGTTCAATGGCCAGGAATTCAGTGGAAGTACGTCAGTGGACGTCGTGAATTTGAGATCGTCATTGCCAACTGATAGGGGCGGCGCCGGCGGCTGCTTATCAGATCACGATACGCGATGGATTGGCCGGTGACATCACACAATCGATCGATACTAGACACGACCTGTCTGCTTGTCGCCATTTGCGTTTACAGAAAATAACGAAAAAAGAAAAACAATCGTTTACCCGGATTATACGTGTGTCAGACTTATGCTGAATCTTACGTTAGGAGGTAAAAAACCAACCTTTTCAACTATTGTAAGTAAAACAGTAATTTAGTAAATAAGTTATTAACTACTGAGCGGAGAACCATGCATGTTTGTATAACTACAAAACATTTTATATGGAGATATCAACATGCAAATCCAAACCAACAATGAATTTGTCGGAGTTCCTTAGTATCAAAAAAACCTCTAAAGATTTCTTTATTCCACTGCCATGACCCATTTATATTACCCAGTTAATTAAAAAACAAATCGCGTCATATACATAATAAAAACACTGGAATTATTTATCATATTTACAGAGTGAGTCATTAATAGGAAAGGTATTTAATCTTTGACTTAATCATTGCTAAATCAAGTGTATCTATAAATGTGATTTCCACTAACAAAAAACTAGTATTTTCGTGTTTCGATAACAAAAAGTAGAAACAGAAAAATAGTAGTAACATGATATGTATATTGACCGCCATATAACTGTATGTTTAGACTGCCGGCAGAATTATCTAAAAAATCTGCTAAATTTTATACTTTTTTTCTAAGTTATAGGACATTGCAAATTGTTCAAAATTGTACGAACCTAAAAAATTAAGAAGATTTTTCTATTAAATTACATAAAATAGCTGTAATTCTACTAATAAATCTTATTTAAAATGTACTAAAATCAAATCTTTGACCTTTGTACTTTGGCGTAACCCTATATCAAGCCAGTGACTGTAATCGAGCCGTGAAAAAAAGCATTACCAAATATGTGGTCGATTGTGATAAACTTTGAACTTACTAAATAACACGGACGATTTTTATACCACAAAAATCTTATCAAATTGTTCATTTAAAGCTGTTTTAAACATAAAGTAATTTAAACATATAATATTACGCGTTGAAAAATGAAGGTAAAATAAGTAGGTATCAGATATATAATTTTGGACTCTATAATTTGCATATAGGCAAATTCAAAACTAGCGGTATTCAGTCAGTCGTGGTTTACAAAAATTCATCGATTATCTTGTCAAAATAACATTGACTAGAACAAGCCTTTAAAATAATAAAGATCCATAAACAATACGACGAAAAATAATAAAGTCAAAAACACAATGGGCTTCTCATAAATAAATTCATAATGTTGTGAAGTTAATATTTGATTTAACATTAAGAGGTTAGGTTAATTATCATAAATTCATAAAACCGGTGGATCGTCTCATTATGGAATTGACAATACTTTTATGTTTACAATTCTAATGGCTTGATATGTATGTAAATATTTTAATACTAACCCATTAGACCAAGATCTGCTGATTCCGAAGATGTTTCATCGCTATATGCGACTGAAAACTGGTACAAAATTAGCACCAAACACAAACTAAAATTAACAAACGCCATTTCTTTGTCAATTAAAACTTGTTAAAAATTTATAACTTTACAAAATAGTTCTACATACATCACTAGTTTCAAGTCATCACAACACTAAATGTCACTTTTTTAACTTAATTATAATTTAATCACAATCTTCCTTTCCTACTTTTTTAAATGTCAGATTTTATTCATTGCAAAAACCAAATATCAATGTAAATGTTTATGAAAATATAAATAAACGAGCACGCGTTCAACGCGTTACGAACCAAACGACACAACCACTTTGCTCGAGTGACATAACTCAACTATTGGCTGATGTTAGAATTCAATGTGAGACAGAAACAGTGGCGAAGAGCGAGCAAGCGAATGACTTCTGTTTCTGTGTAGTGGTGCGCTTTTAGAATGCAATTTATATTTATCGACTATTTACGCATCTTTATTTTATGATTTGTTTATTTTTCAGTTTGTTTTTATGAAATTGTGTATATTCAATAAGGATCTGTGTTTGATTGAGACAATTGTAATGATTTAATTTAATTTTAATTTGTATAGTAGTACCTTTCGTATTTGCCAAAAATTTTAATTTAAAACTCGGCAATTGGTAACGATTTTTATTGATGCGTATAAACTATGTAAAATCTTCGATAAATGTAACAGCATCACTATAATAGAAAACACTGGGATCCAAAGAATGTAAACAAGATAATATCTATTTTAGCTCCTGGACTTAAGACACATTTTAGAATAAATTTTTTAAGTAATTCAAAATTTTAATACCATTTGGGAATGATTTTAGCGCGCTTCTCTATTGTTTTTACGATGGTACCGCAACTTTCTTCGAGGTGGCGTTTAATTATTTTAGTGCGGGTGCCAGAACGGGGATAGCTAATTGTTACTTTCAAATGTATTTATTTGGATACCGTCTACCTGAATAGATGAAAAGATAAAGCGTTTGAAATGTATTGAGCCATGCTTTGTTATATTCAAAGAACTATTGACATTCTAGATTATTTTGAAGTGAAAATATAACATAATAATTAAAAAAATAGCTGTCGCCCCCAACTTAATCCTCTTAGGCCCTATTTTGGAATGAATCATTTTCATCTACATATTTTTTAGTTAGGGAGTTACTTAGTAATGAAATCCGCAGATTCATACATCGATTGAATCTTTTGCTTATGCGTATATTTGACTACGGATCTCATAGAATATAAAAATGTTCATAGATTAAGTAATCACAACGACTTCGATATATTTAAAACTATATCAAAATGGAACCATAAACATTTCATCATACAAGTACATTTAAGACCACATGTACCGCGGGAATAGAGAAATGTTTTATTTGTGAACGAGTAAAAGAAATAAAACGAAAGAGATGACGAAAGGCTCTCATTTAAAAATCGAACGGCGCATTCATTTCAATCGCTACTTAGTATAGGCTACGAACGCACTATCGGCTATATATTTTTTTTATTACCGTTGAACTGTACAACGGTAATAAAAAATTATAACAAAAGTATATTTTAACCTTTATAAAGCTGTAATCACATACTTATAAAGGAATGACATGTTTGTAACGTGTTTTTAAAAATTTAAACTTTCCATAATAAAACCATAGATAATAAATAAAATTGCCAATTAGTGAAATGTGTAAATATAATTTCACATTTATGTTGATTTCAAGTATATAGAAATTATCTTTAGTTAGACTTTAAAAATATAGATACCAAATCTATTTGCATAGGATACAAGTACTAATCGCATTTTAATTACATACAGAATTACTTGCTTTTTTTCCATTTCGATAATTTCTGTACATTTCTTTAGACCATTGCGTTAGCTTAACGAAGGTTAACTTACTTTATTCCTAACAGATAGGTTTCAAATTCAAAATGAACTTATAAATTTATACGACTTTAGTAATAATAAATATTCTATTATATAATATAATAATGATAGCGAAGAGTTTCGACCAACATCTCAGGAAGCTCTTCCTAAACAATTGGATTAAGTTCCTGTCTCTGCAGCCCTGACCACTGGTTGTTTGAGTCATGGGACTCCGCAGCCGGTGGTGCTCTATTTTTAATATAATATATTTTGTATATTTTTTATATGAAATGTAACATATTAAGAATAAGGTTAATAAATGAATAATAGTAATATAAATAAATCTGTATTTATGGTCGCTAGTGCGTTATTAGCCTAACGCTGACAGGGCTTTGTAAAAAACAAAGAGAGTATACGGCAGCATGCAACGAGGCCCTTTGTTAGGGCCGGAATGCGTTCAATCCGAGGGCCGGCCCTCGTCTCAACCGGCCCTTGTATATTAATAACCTATAATGACTCTCCATTTTGCTCGGTTGCTAACCTTACAAATACAGCGATGTGTTTGTTGTGGTAATTACTTTGATGTGAAAATCTGACATGTGGCGACATCTAGCAGATAGGTGCTTTTTTAATCCGCTTCAAAAAGGTTTAGGGTATTGATTCCTCTGTGTTTTTCTGACAAGTATAAAAACATTGAACTACGTTAATTACTTACTTTTTTAAGGGATTACTAACGAATTTCAGAAACAATTGCGTTTCAATAGATTTTACAAACTTTTTTCTTTTTATTATTTAATTATTAAGAAGAATTTAAAACATAAAATAAGTCATAAAACAATAAAAATAACTGAAATATGCAATAATTTACCTGCAAGAGAACAGACGCTAAAAGAATGGAGTAAAAACATTCAGACGGCAATTTATCAACTACTTTAACTTGAAGACAATATTTAAGACGAAAACAAAGGAATTTTTAAAATTTCTCATTGTAAAGTTAATTATACGAGAGAAATTCCAAGAAGGAAGGGGATTTTTTGAACGGGGCCAGGAAACTAGCGATTTTGAAACGCGGTAACCGTTATCAATTTTTCTAACGAAACTAAATGCTCCAAATAATAATAAAGCAAGGAGACTAATAAAGTAACTCAATGCCAAAGTTCAACTGTCTAGTCAGTGCATTCCTTCTTCGTATCTCAATATTCCAGACTTTCAGACATATCTAAACAATGCCTTAGTGCAGATTTTAGACATTTAAACTGCAATAAGGTATCCTCTTAGTGGTTACTTAACTCTATAAATCTATATATATAAAAGAAAGTCGTGTTAGTTACACTATTTATAAGTCAAGAACGGATTTACCGATATGGCTGAAAATTGCGAGGAGGTAGCTTAGAGCCACGAGACGGACATAGAAGACTATTTATTCTTTTTAAATGCCTGGAAGAGCTGCTTTTTATTTAACTTACTAATATTATAAATGCGAATGTTTAGATGGATGTGATGTGGATGTACACTAATTAAGTTTTTTTATATATCCACGCGGACGGAGTCGAGGGCGACAGCTAGTATGAGATATATCAACGCTATACTTCACTATATCAACGTTTTAGGAGCGAAAATTTTAATAGTATTTAAAAAAAATCGCCAATTTCATGGACTGAACGCCAGCGGCGCCTGACTCAACAGGTTTGTTATCGTGGATCTGAAAGCCAGATAACGTGTAAAAAAAAGCCGCTAAACAAACAATGCTTTTAGGGATTTGTCGGTGGCCGGTGCAATGCTGTCGACTGCCAACTGCCGACCTCTTATTGTCTCTAGATAACAACGACGCCGTCGCTTTAATTATAGTCGCGACGGTGTTGTAGATTAAGGCCATTTATACTAAGATACATACACTTTGAATCCAGGCGATTTTAATCTGTCGGCATAGAGATGGAATTATATAAAAATGAGCAAGCATGTGGTGGAAAATCTGAGATAAAAAGGAAACAGCTATAGACACGGGCGACGCCAAGGGGTTGGGGTAGGCAACTGCCCACTCCCCCCTTAGACAATCGAAAAATGTTGAATAAATGTAAAAAAACACTTCGAATAAGACCATATTAATGACCTGCCTCCAATAGATTAGCCTAGATTATCGACTGGCGACGCCCATGGCTATAAACAAAATTAGGTGTCACCCGTGACATCGTTCGCACGGAATTTAAAAAATAATTAGTTGCCTATGTGTTTTTCCAGACAGTGGTCTATGCCCATTGAACATTTTAGCGAGATACATTTTTGGAGATACGTAATATGAAACATCCATCCATCTAAACATTCGCATTCATAACATTAGTGACAGTAACATAATAGCTGTTTCCATGTGGCTTTATCAGCATGTTTCATGTGTATCAGTTATAATTTCGTGATGTTTACAAAAACTTTTTTTGTGTCATTCACTAAGCTGATCCTGCCGAAAATACTTTCTACCATAACATCTGTTTACTTCTTCCACTAGTATTATAGATGCCAGCGATTTTATTCGCGGTAAAATTAAAAAAAATCTAGTAATAAATATAGGCAATATCATCCGGGATAGTATAGCAACCCAACAGTTAAAAATGTGTATATTAGAGGAAGTTTAAAAGTAGCGCCAGTGATCGAGAAATTGAGGAATAAAAGATTAGCGTGGTTAACATGTTATGAGGAGGGATGATGATGATATAAGCAGAAAAGTAATGAGATTGAATGTGGATAGCTACAAGGGTAGGGGAAGACCAAAAAAAGCATGGAATGACTGTGTGAAAGAGGATATGCGTAATAAGGGGGTAGACTAGGATATGACGGCTGATAGAGATGTATGGAGGAGTAGTACATACTGTGCCGACCCTTCATAGGGATAAGGGGAGGTTGATGATGATGAGTGAAAGAATTTTTCAAAACGGTTCAGTAGTCCTGAATCTATTCCATGCACACTAATAATATAATCTTTCTTCTTTATTACTAGTATAAATATAGTTTCACAATGGAAATATAAGAGTAGATAGGTACGTTGGAATAGTTCTGAGCAAAAGACATTAAGCTTTTAAATAATTTTATTAATTTTTTAACAGTTCAGGTCCCCCGTTTTTTCCAGGATATAAAAATAACTAAGACTTATACTAAAACATATAATATGTATTAATAAAAATTATGTTTTCTGTTACTTTATTATGTAGATATACTTATCATCACAATCTCGTCTATACATTAACTTAATCAATTCATCCATCCAAACTTTGGTAATACAAATGATTTATATTGTGACCTTTGCATTCAAATATGTTCTACAATACCTTTTCAAAGATTCTGTTTTACAAACCTATAAAATAAAACGCTTTTACTACTAAAAAGTACTATTAATAAAGAAACTACCCGGGAGTATTGTTTTCTTGCTATAGGCAGTAAGACACTATCACTTATTCTTTATAATCATTGTAAATATGTGAACTTAATATTAATATTGGTTTAACTTATATGGCATTGTAATTTATTACATTATTTATAATGGAATTGGATTGTCCAATACATCCTCCGATCAAAGTAAAATGTTTTTCTGTAGTTTATGGTTATCTTGTCATCAACTTGCCCTTACCCTATTGAGGGTTGGCACAGTATGTACTACTGCTCCATACATCTCTATCAGCTGTCATATCTGAATCTACCCCCTTCATAGCATATCTTCTTTCACACAGTCATTCCATATTTTGTTTATGTCATCGCCATACATCTGCATTACATGTCCAAACCACGATGATCTTTTACTCCTCAATTTCTCGATCACTGGCACTACTTTCAAACTTCTTCTAATATACACATGGTTAACCTGTAAAAATTAAATCTCTCGAGCGCTGAAAGGGAACTTTTTTGGCTCAGATCTATTGGCTCAGCCTATATTACTTTTGTTATGTTTTTAGTAGTAATTTATGTAAATAAAAAGATTCTCATATTGACAAAACCTCTGTTTAAAGCATAAAATAGTTACTTTAAATGCTATTCCATTCTATTCAAGTACACCATAGAAATGGTAATTTTTTCTATTTTTTATAAGATTTCTTATCACTTATGCTGTTCCTAAAACCAATAATACTAAAATTTTGCTACTATTTCGAAATATCACAAAAGAAACTTTTATATTTTGAAAACAGTTACGACTTTTAAAAATTATTATAGAGCAATAAGATAAAATTAATATAACACTAACCATCGATTGTGGATTATGAATTAACATAGTTTATTTAGCATTTTGTTTAAAGATTGCATTTTGAAATCATCTAAATCCCTGTACAAGAGTGCCAGAGATTATAAAAATTCTGCGCAATTTATGCTAGCATTACATGAAAGAATTAAAATTAACACTTTTGAACTATTTTTCTTTGATATTATCGCTGTTCTAAGTGTTTTTACTTAATTTTAGTTACGCTTGAACTTTTGTAAAACTTTATTGTTGACATTCTGTAAAACTTTCAGTCGCTAATGTCAAAATCAACTGACACTTGACAACGAACGAAGGGAGGTGTTTGCCATTGGCTGAGACAAACCGTCACCATGGTGACCTTGGTTGCTTGCTGCCAGTGGCCTAGTGGCTTGTAGTTTTTGTCCCTTTCTCGCATAACAGGGGGAGGAAAACCAAAAGATCTAAGTAGATGGTGCTAGCGTCAACAGTCGGCTGTCATCTACCATTTTTTTTAGTCAATATAGCGATTTCAAAGAAGGAAAATGTAATCCTTTTTAATTTTTTGCTATAAATAATTTTAAGAATTATCTTAAAACTATTACTTATTCTTATAATATTATAATAAATATTAATGTGATAAAATAAGCTATCATTTAAGTAAAATGATGGTAATACATATCTTTTGTCTTTATTGGAGTATCACCTTAAGTCGGTATAAGTATAATTATTACTAAAAGCACCAACTACTTTCAAACCTAAAATTTACTGGTAAGACCTAAGATGTACAATGTTTTTTTTCAATGTTAATGTAAATGTTATGTTAATTCAAGCTTTAAAACAGTTGACATGCACCGTATATTAAAAAAATATTCACAAAGTGAATGGTAATAAATACTCGAAGTAATCCAAAATGTCATAACTTATTCTACTTTCCGGCAAATCTTAAGATTCACCGGAGTTCGGGTCTTTACAGTATCATATTAAATAAAGAGGATAAATGTAAACAAACAAAGTTAAAAGTAGTAACGTGTTTTAGTTGATATTATACGGTGCTCAAGTCGCTAAAACAATAGAAATAGTGCTTCAAGTTATTTCTTAAATAACCTCATCGGCAGTATTAATCAACCAAGACACGAAGTAACTCTCAAGTAAAACTCGTCCGCCATGTTTACTACGTTTCAAATTTGTCGTATAATCTTATTGCCATCTCCCTCTGTGTTACACAGCTATGCGTCGCTACTGATCTCTATAAATGGATAGGTCATTGCTTGAAAATAACAGCTTTTGCGTCATTCCAACTTAAACGCGGAATGTTTAAGTTCCTAACAGTTAATTATATCTCTATTATTAGTCTGAATCCCCACCACCACTACCAACCACAACCATCAGCGCCAAAATGACGAAGATCAAATAGGCACAAAATACCACGGTTCATAACCTATCCTTGTATAGAGGTCGGTGCGCGTCGCCGACATTTTGTTTTTTCGTCGCTGACGCCATGCCACGCCACGCCAGTCGCTCGCTACCTGTATGTTAAGATCGTCGCCAAAAATGTTTTCAAGATGTCGGAGCAATTACTAAACATAGATTTTGTTTGTGAGGTTCAGAAGTATCCTTGTTTATACAATTATACTCTAAAAGAATATTCGAAAAAAGATATAACCGAAAAGGCATGGGAAGCAGTAGGAAAAGTTGTTAATTTAACAGGTTAGTATTGACTATTTTACATTATTGTAAACTAAAAAATTCTAGTGAATGAAGTAGTAATATAGTATAATACTTTTTAATTTAATAGGTAACTACATATTTTTTCAAGAACATTGTGTTGTTCCGTAAAATAATTTTTGTTGTCAAGGCAAAATTACCTCAGTGTTGTCATTTCCAATACAAACTGACATTAAAATCAACTTTCGATTAGACGTCAAACTTGTATGAAACATTGGTCGCACAATGGCCACAGGAGCCTTTTTTGTGGTGAATTTCCTCAGTGTTGTCATCTACATTACGTAATTTGCTTAGAAACTGCATACTTATTTTCTTATGTTTTGTTTATTTTGTAGTTTTTAGTGAAGTTTAATAATATAATTATTCGTGAAATCGTTAAAATATTAACTAATAATTTAATACCAAAAACAATATTGTGTATTTTAAAATGTTTTGGGTTAATATTTTTGGGTTGATAATATAATAAATTAAAATAACAAATAATTTAGTACATTTTGCTTTTAATTTCATGCCCTGAATTTCCCGAATTTGAGAGAATTTTTCATTACACTGGTATACATTTGCGCCAGGCGCACTACATAACGACATTTGGAAAAGTCAACAAAGATCTTATGTCATTTTTCTGATATTGACGGGGCCTTCGACTTTAGGGTTACCAGGAAGCAAAAATTTCCTAACTTCTTCCGAAATTCTTTCACTTTAAAAATAAATTGCAAACGGTTGCAAGTTTTAACTTGAGTTTTTTCTTTTGCTTTTTAGTTAAATTATAATAATTGATATAGCAATAGGATTATTAAAAAAAACTTTTTAATATTTAAATAATAATATCATGTTCAGCATAAAAAAAAACGCACATTAGCATTATTAAATCTGTGATCTTAATTATTACACGTATTTTTTTCTGGAATTTCGGGAAAAATAAAAATGGCAACATTCACCCTAGTAGGTGTCTCATTGGTCAAAATATGATGCGGTGAAGACGACATTGTTCGTTCACATATACTAGCCTTGGGTTGTGGGTAGCGGGTTTGCCGATGCCTCCCCCACCCTTTACCAACGTCTGCGTCCTGACGTTGCTTGCGATTCGTTTGCTTAGTACCGTCAGTTAGAACAGCCGATACTTATTTGTAATTTTTACTTTCCATCCGAATTAATTCATTGAATTGTTAAATACTCCTTGTTTTTGTAAGTTATTTATTTTTGTTTTTTTTTTTTAAATTATTTTAACATTAAATAGGTAAAAGTCTGATTAATGGACTTTTATGATAAAACTAAACGTTAAGGCTTAGTATTTATTCTTTAAACCTTAATAGCAATTTATATATATACATAATAACTTCAACCGAGAATTTTTTATAAATTTTATTATGTGTAAAGTACCTACATATAAATAATTTATAACACTTATTATTTTCACGTAATCTTTTTTGTCAACCTTACCGATGTATGTGTGACGTCACAAGACTCGGCAAAGCTTCAGCACACTCGAGTAATATTTTCCGACTGTTATAAGATTCTTGTTGAACTAGTCAAACTTGTATGTAATAGTTCATCTATAGATAATATATATATAAAGTTATATATCTACTAGCTGTCGCCCGCGACTCCGTCCGCGCGGAGTACTATAAATAATAGATACGGGATAAAAACTACATAGTAGCCGATTCACAGACATACACAATACGGTCACAAAATTTCATGAGAATCGGTCAAGCCGTTTCCGAGGAGTATGGGAACGAAAATTGTGACACGAGAATTTTATATATAAGATGATTTAATGTGATTATTTTGTCACGTTTCTTGAGGCTTTAGAAAGTAATTAGCTAATTATTTTCACAATATTTTACTATTAATACCAACTAATGTTAACCGATGTTATCGTCTCGATGTCTGTTAGACTCGACTGTGTCTTGTTTCCCGAAATATTTCTTAATGAGCTTCAGCCATGTAGCGACAATATGTTCGGTAAAAGTGTAGGGCAACTCATCTGTAATTACGGTTGTCTACAGACAGCGCTCGCTTAGCTCGGTGAATTAAGAATTAAATTTAATTCTCTTACTTTCAGCATTGCAAGCGAAAGAGAAATGGAAAAATCTACGTTCAGTGTTCGTAAGAAACCTAAAACCTCAGCCAAAGGGTTCAAAAAAGAAGAAATACTACTTAACAGATGCAATGCAATTTATTAAACCGTATATAAAAATAGCTGGAACACCATCAAGTTTACCCGATCCCGAAGAACAAGACGATGAATACAATGAACCACAAGACCCGCTGTCCCCTGCATCAACACCATCGCGCAGTTCATCACCAACATCAGAGTTAACTAGGCGTAGTTCATCTGACTTCTCAAATCAAAATTATAGAAGAAAAAAGAAAAAAATAAGTGAGACTGACGAATTATTAAATGAGTTTATGAAATCAAAAAAGACTAAAAAGGACGATGGTGAGAAGCCAACAATTAATAACGCGAACAAGATGTTTTTGTTAAGTTTGCTGCCAGATTTAAATTGTATGACACCAACACAAACAAGAATATTTAAACGGCAAGTCATAGATTTAATGGATAATATATTAACCGAACCCCCTAACTCTTCTACTCATACGATAACATTGAAATCAGAACACATACCAAGTACATCGAATGCCTCATCCTCGCAAATAACTCGATTAGAAGAATGGTGAAAAACACAGGAAGATGTGAGAGCTTCGTAAAAATAATTTCGTTAGCAGTTTTTATCTAATTTCAGGTTCGAACACATTTAAGATATTTTGGTTAGCTTTTTCCCGCGATTTCATTTACGCGGAATTAAAAAAAAAACAGGATGAATAATACAAAATGTTATTTGAGTATATGTTCTATAACTATGCCAAATTTCAAATAAGATATGTCGAAACGTTGCAGAGTTATATTCCACGAGAATTGTATAGAATTCCAGGATCATAGGTATGTTTTCATAAGGTATTCTTCCAGATTGTTTTCTACATCTATAGCAAATTTCATCGAGATCCATGTAGCCATTCTAGAGAAACTTAGGTACAAACAACCATCCATTTAAACATTCGCTTTTATTTTAGTAAGATTTTTTTTATATCATAAGGTGGCAAACGAGCGAGCGGCCACCTGAAATCGATGAAATAGCGAAGTGACCGTTGCCCATAGACATACGCAATTGCATATGCATTGCCTACCTTTAATCGACGGAGGAGAGGATGCACAGAGAGAAAATATTTTCCCTTCCCATGCATCCTCTCATCCGGAAAGTCCACTTCCACTTCAAATCATTTCCTTATAAGAAAAAGGGTGGGAAGGGAAAGAGGTCTAATTTTGACCTCCGGGACGCACACTCATCAGACTGTACGCGGAATAGCTTCCACTTCACGCCTGTCTTCTGTGTGGTCGTGGTATTTTACCGGGCGAGCCTGGCCAATTCAAAATCGGCGTCTTTCACTTCACTGGTTATCTTAAAATACCTGAAGAAAGACCCTAATTAGTTTGAAAATTTCTGAATCGGTTACATTTTAACGTTCGATTTGTCGCGTATTGAATCAAACATGTCCATTCCTGTTAGAACACGTTCAGTAACGCAACTCTTATCAGGAGACGGGAACTCAAAAATACTTGTTAATTTTGTTGTTAATTATATTAAAAATTGTAACACTGTAATCCTTGTAAATTGGTGTATTTTTTGTATAGCTAATAACCAAGTACTAAGTTAATTATAACAAGAATTAAACTTAACTAAAAACAATATAGGTTTGCCCTTTTCACTATACCGACATTTAACAACATACTTAATTATGGAACAGAAGTTTTGGATTGCATCGAAACAAAATTTATCATGGTGCACTAAATTTCTAACATTTTTATTTTTATTTCTTGTACATATATCGTTAACTTATAAAATATAATTTTAGTTATTCGGTATACTTACAAAATATACCAATGCTTTTAATATAAATTTACGTTAAATTATCATGACCATCGGTGACACGTTTTGGTTTACGATTTGGTCTCGGTTTTGGAGTTGTTGTTGTTGTCGTGGTTGTTGTTGTTGTAGTCGTCGTTGTTGTTGTGGTTGTTGTTGTTGGTGTAGTCGTCGTTGGGGTGGTAGTTGTCGGCGTCGTAGTAGTCGTTGGTGTTGTTGTTGTTGTTGTTGGTGTAGTTGTTGTTGGGGTTGTTGTTGTTGGTGTAGTTGTTGTTGGTGTAGTTGTTGTTGGTGTAGTTGTTGTTGGTGTAGTTGTTGTTGGTGTGGTTGTTGTTGGGGTTGTTGTTGTTGGTGTTGTTGTTGTCGGTGTGGTAGTTGTTGTTGGAGTAGTCGTTGGTGTTGGTGTAGTCGTAGTAGTAGGCAAAGTTGTCGTAGTTGTTGTTGTTTCCGGAGTTGTTGTAGGTGCGTCGGTGGGCGGCGGTACAGTGGTAGTAGTTGTGGTTGTTGTTGGCGGTAGTGTTGTTGCTACTGTAGTAGTTGGCTTTGGTGTAGTTGTAGTTGTTGTGGTAGTAGTAGTTGTTGTTAGTTTACGAGTGATAGTTTGTCGTAATTTCACAATTGTCTTTGTACTTTCAGTCCCTCCAAGTATTGCCTTGACAACGCTTGCTGGTATCCAGTGTCCTGGCATCATCGCCTCGACGGGATTCGCAATAAACACCAGCGGGTCCTCTCGAGAGGACGGCGACATTGAAATGTAGGACGTAAGTCCGCATGTTAAGACTGTTATTGCTCTGATGATTACATTAGGCAACACTAGAAAAAAAGGGCAGATAAATGCTATCGTAGTTGTCCTAGAATTAATAAATTAATTAATGTTCCAAACTCACTTTGCTTTGTTTTCTAATAACGTATAAAATTTTATCTTGTTCATGTTTCTATTGCACTATTATGTTCACTTGCATAACGTATTTTTGTATATTTGTCTTTATAATGCGTAGAGTTATTATTAAAATCTATTATTGTATGAAATTGGCCGTGACTTTTCAATGGATAAATAAAAAATTGATGGAAAATCAATTTTCAATTAAAATTATTTATAGGGAATGTAAAATTGATTTCGTCTTTTTTAATAATTTCTTCTCGTAAACAAAAGTTTGTTAAGAGTCATGTCAAATACGACTACCTTTGAGCAATTAAATATTCAAAATTTGTTTATACACCTTAAACCAGCATCAATATCATACCAATGTCAGAGACCTTGTTTCTAAAATGGCCACTAAGCCCAAAAGTTTCTATATTAAAGACAAGCCCGTCTGTGAGAGTTTATTTTAAAATTTTAAGCATACTGATTCTACTCTACTTCATTTTTTAATTCTAATGTAATCTCAAATTATCTTTTAATCGGGTTCTTTCTGGCAACTTTTTAATTAAAGGAATAAATTCAAGTTAGTTAATATATACCAACCTTTAAAAAATAGAAATAAAGCAGTATTATAAAATAATAACTTTATTTTTAACCATACATATAAATAGTTACTTTTCTCTATGATAGATTTTCGTGATCATCTCTAGGTTTTTTACGAACTGGCTTCTGACGTTCCGTTGGTGGTTCAGTGGGTGCCTCAGTGGGTGCTTCAGTGGGTGCTTCAGTGGGTGCTTCAGTGGGCGCTTCAGTGGGCGGTTCAGTGGGTGCTTCAGTGGGTGCTTCAGTGGGTGCTTCAGTGGGCGCTTCAGTGGGCGCTTCAGTAGGTGCTTCAGTGGGCGATTCAGTAGGCGCTTTAGTGGGTGCTTCTGTAGGCGCTTCAGTGGGTGCTTCAGTAGGTGCTTCAGTGGGTACTTCAGGAGCTGCAGTAGCTTCAGAAGGAGGATCTGTAGGTGCCTCAGTCGATGTAGTCGTGATCTCACTTGTTACTTCTGTGGTAACTTCGATTTTCTTAGTCGGGCGAGGAGCTTCAGTTATAAACTCTGACAATTTTTCCCTTTGTGTAACCAGCCTTGTTGTACCCTCTAGCATAACTTTAAGAATGCTCAAAGGTATCCAATGTCCTGGCATGTTAGCTTCTACGGGGTTAGCGATGAACATAAGTGGATCATTATCAGGGTCGTATGCATTTATAATCTTAAGGTTAATGGCGTAAATAATTAACACTAATATTCTGAAGCAAGCATTTGAATTCACTGGAAAGAAATAGTCATTTAAATATTTTTATTATCTCAAATGATTTAAATTTATATTGTTAAAAGCATGTCTTACTTTTTCTTTTCATGTTTTAAAGTCACGATAATAGCATTTCATCGTCTTCATTTTGCAACGCGTGAGTCAATGGGGAAGCGGAAAATCGTTCTGCTCATTGATATCGGTTAAATAAATCAACCAATGGAAATTAACCGAGGCTTTCTACAAATGAAAATGTACGAAATGAATAATGTATGCATTAATATTAACTCAATTTCCTTTCTCTTGCACATGGTTTTAAATTATAAAAGAATAAAATTAATTTTGCAAAAGCATTGCACTGTAGGGAGTTTGTCCTTGACAAACTTAGTCTGCTCAGATTAGAGATATGTATCATCATCTTACTGTACGACACTGAAGGGCTCGGAGTCTACCCTGAGTTAAAGGTAACTAGGCCATAGTCAACCACGCAGGGTCAGTGCAGGTTGGTTGACTTTACACATATCTTTGAATTTCTTCGCATATATGCTAACGAAAGGCAAAAATATATAGCACCAAATTGGCCATATCATGCAAAATAGAAACCCATAATTTATGCCTAACCCAGAGACTAACGGATGGAAATGCTTAGATGGAGTTTAATAAAAAACTAAAAAAATATAAATACATTTAATGCGATGGGGTAATAAATAACAACAACAGAGAATCAGTCTTTAGTTTGGTCACCGTAGCTCACTGCTCAGCTAATCCGTAACTTAGAGTTTGATAAATATCAGTCACTCATTCACTCAGTTGACAGTATGAGAGTGTCACAATCACTTAATCAGAATCGTGAGATGGAACCACTGATCTCTGTAAATGGATAGGCTTTGAAATGACAGCTTTTGCTTTGTTCTGACTTACACGCGGTTCTTGAAGTTAACAGTTGACTCCGCTATGAACCGTCAACGCCACAATGGCGTTAATCAAATAGGCACAAAATACCACATCTTATAGCCTGTCCATTTATAGATGTTAGAACGTGGAACGTCACTCAATCACCGAGTCACTGATGAGTGAGGTGAACCGATTGTTCGAACACTCATGCACTCAATCACTGAGCGTTGTGAGGTGGTCTTCAGATGTGGGAAAAGCGTCTAAGTCTACGTATAGTTGCTTCTGGCCAGTGAGTTTGTCAACGATGACCGCGAATGTGGGACGATCGGTGGGATTGTCTGCCCAGCAGTCCGTCATCAGCTCGTAAAGCCGGGTGGACGCGCGCGCAGGCCGAGGCAATCGTCCACCTCCCGTTAAATATGTTGGAACCTGATGATTGCTTAGTTCCGCATACGGGAAACCACCTGGAATGAGTAGATAAAATTATGTTGATGTCTTATCATTTAGTGTTAGCACCTTTTTCCACTAACACGATATCATATTTGGTTTCTGACATTTACAAATATTTTCTTTACGTATTTATTCTAATTAAATTATAACATTGTTTATGTACAAAGTTATTCAACGTATAACTTCTTATTTACGTTTGTAACTAATCCATGTAAATAAAATTAGACATTGGATTTTCGTTCATATGTATATTTGAAATAAGGGCTTTTTAATCTAACGTTATGTTCATTATGTTTTGTATTCTAATGTTCATTCATTAGTCAGTGATTAAAACATCTGAATGAATCTTTATCTCATTCGTAATGTTGTAGTGAAGATTATTTACTTATAATATTGTGTTAATATTACAAATATCATTCATTGCTAATTCATTATCACTTTGTAGGTAAACATAATTTCCGATAGACAAACTCGTTAATACATCAAATATCATCATCATCAGCTCACTATACGTCCCCACTGAGGGGCTCGGAGCCTACCCTAGGTTAAGGGTGACTAGGCCATAGTCAAACACGCTGGCCAAGTGCGGGTTAGTTTGACTTCACACATATCTTTGAATTTCTTCTCAGATATGTGTAGCATCACGATGTTTTCCTTCACCGTAAGAACGTCGGATAAATGTACATATGTAAATCGGATATCGAAAAACACATTGGTACATGGCGGGATTCGAACCCAGGACCTGCAGATTGCAAGTCAAGTGCTTGACCCCTGAGCCACCGACGCACATCAAATATAGTTTGAATTAATAATATACTTTTGTGACTGGTAGAGCCCGCGAAATTCATAGATAGAAAATTAATAATGATGATACAAGACAATAGATGTCTTTTTCTTCTTAACCATGTCTTTTTACTTGAGATTGTCTAATTCGCAGACCTGTGACGCCTCTTTCCATCCAGCGCCCTGGACGGTCGACAAACCGCGCCCTACCCTAGGTTGGTTTAGTTTTGAGCTTGATTACCCCAATATTCAGCCAACTTAGGTCTGGGTCCTATACTAAGGTCTTAATCTGCTGTTGTCTGTAATGTGTTATTTACCTAAAGTGGCGATCTCCCAGAGTAAGACAGCAAATGCCCAGACGTCGCTGGCACTGCAATAATGCGCGTGGAAAATAGCCTCTGGGGCCAGCCAGCGTAAGGGCACGGGTCTCGCCCGAGTGTGGACGTATACGCCCGACCGCGACAGACCGAAGTCGGCCACTTTTAGTGTCCCCGCACTGTCCACTAGAATATTCCGAGCAGCTAGATCACTGGAAAAAAGAAAATAATGTTTTAATCGTAATTGGCTATGGACTGAGCTTCAATGGTAATCGCTAGGTCGTGTTTGAAGGATATTTTCCACTAGCGCGAATTGTTCTTTAGTGGAAAGCGGTTTTATTCGAACTATACCTCTCATGGTTGCACCATTTTAAAATTATAGAACCTTTGTAAAATCACAACCATGAATAGTACTTGATAACGCAAGAATGTTCTTTATAAAAAATATTATACGCTCTCTGAAAACCTTTTTGCGGATTTTCTTTGCGGGTTAAGGCTTTGACAACCGTTGCTAGGCGACACAGGTCATGTCAATAACCTTTTCTCATTTGACGGTGACACCCAAAAGCTGATTTTACGGTACTGATCTGATTTACTTTAAGGGTCCGAAAATTTTATCTGAGTGTCTAAAGTAAAAATTGCTCAAATAATTTAACAGGCGTTCTAAAATTTTCGTTTAAAACTAGTTAGATTTAGTTTCTATTTTAGATTTTGAATTAAAATAAGTTCTATGGTCAATAATATTATATTATAAACTTTACTTTACATTAATTAATAATGTTAGCGCATTTACATTTTAAAATCTCATTTTATAATTTCTTCGCAAATATGTGCCAAAAATGTCCTAGGCCTGGGTTTACTTGACTCCTATGTAAGATGACAATATTCGATTATTATAAAATCTGTTACAACATTATCGATCTATGTCCGATTTACCTCGTTAGAGGGACATTTTGAATAGATTAAAGCAAATCCGGAGCCTCACGACCTCGTCATCGATACGCGGCGCGTGTAAGCTTATTTTATTCAAACATTGAGGATATTTTTTTCTATTACATATGATGCCATAAGGATAATACACGAAAATAGAACGGATGACATACATTTATTACAAAAGTATGTGCTCGTAGTTACTGAAGGTTATCACATATTAATATTTAAGTTTTTTTTACTTAAAATCATTTATGCGACTTTGCCTTTTTTTAGTGTAAGGCGCTTATTTAATTTCCTTTTTCAAAGAACGTCAAGCTCGGAAATAAGATAAACGTTGTAATTATGTAAGCATCAAAGAGTTTGAACCTTAATCAAATTTAAAACGATCGAATCACAAACATCTTGAAAGTATCATTTGGTGTATAATAAGACGGTTTGTGAAGACATGCTTGTTACGGAATTAAATCTTTCCGGGGCTCGGCCGGGTTGCTGTGTAGGGTCCAGGAGGTGGGGGATGTTTGACAGGGGGTGGCAAGGGCGCCCCGGCGGTTGTTCGCGGAATATTTTACAAATTTCCCGGTACCTCGACCTCGTGAGACCCTCGGGCTAAAGTTTGCTCAATAAGAAAAATATGCCGCAATTGGCTTGTATTTACACGATCTTGTTTGAGTTTCGATGTTGTTTTATTCCTATTACAGCTAAGAAAGGTAAGTAAATAATAAAACTTCTCAACAATGGTACAGAATTAAACTAATGTTTTCCTAGCCTAATCAGTCTACTAAGGCAAGTTTAAGTTTTTATTATTTAACTTAGAAATTGAAGAAAATCTAAATCATTTTCTATTTAATAATTAACATTAACAGTGACGTTTGGTAACTCTGAGTTTCTAGTACCGAAATATCTGTATAAAAATTTATTACCATCTCTCTCTATTGTTTGAGAAAATCTGAGATACAAATGGAAATTAAATACACAAAACAATCGAAGATCGTACTATTCGAAGTCTACTCACCGATGTGTAATCCCTCTCTCTTCTAGATGTCTCATGCCGAGAGCTACTTGTAACGCGTACTCCCTCATGGTACTACTGTCCAGGTGCAACGCAGGCTCCGCCACGTAATGATCCCGGACTCTAGGGTTCACGTCGTCTCTATACAATTTGTCATCGTATAAAGCTGGATCTGAGTCACTTAGGTTTGTGTATTCCGCTGTAATAGAAGAATTTATATGAATCTTTCGCAGATAAAAGAAATTAAGCAAAAATAAATGAATCTTTGTTAAAAGTAGAAAATAAATCTAATTTCCTTCATTAATGAAAACGGCAAAAATATAATTACAACGTAATTTTTTAAAGCCCCTAGCAAAATACCCATATCAAAATGTTTTAAACGAATGATTGCGCTGACGAAACAACAGGGGCTTTAATTTATGTTTTCTAAACAACTTACAATCTACTTCAAAACGTCTATCTGCATCGCCATTCCTTTTAGAGCGTTGTATGTCCAGCTTGCGCCTTCCTCTGGCCGCACGCAGAAGAGATAGCAGGTCGCCTCTCGGCGCGTGTTCCAGCAAGGCAATGAGCGGTGCCTTGGTTGTACAACAGCCTACTAATCTGATCACGTTCCGGTGGTAACCAACATGTTTTAACATCACTATCTCTCTAAGGAAGTCCTGCATTTCTTCCTCATTTGCGTTATCTGTTAAAATGTATTTATAGAAATAAAAAAATAACTTAAATCTAATGTAAAAGTTTAATACACGTTACGAGGCTTTGTATATAGGTTTGGAAGTCTTAGTATTATTACTAGGATTTGCTATTAGTTGTAATTCATACCACTATTAGGTTGTAGTCTTTGGCAAAAGTTAGTCTCTACCTGATAGCATTTTAGCGGCGACTGTAGTTGTCTCTCCGCCTGGCATGTCGAGTTCCGCCAAGTGCACGTGCCCGAACGCTCCGCTGCCGATCAACGCGCCGAGATGGACACGTGTCCGCGCCACTTCCCACTTATCTGTGCCTTCACCTGTTGTCTGAAGTTAATACTAAATTAGTAAAGAGACCGAAGGTTCGTTGATAAGTAGGGTTAGCTGGAATAATCCAAACTAGCCAAAACAATATCTTAACCCAAATTGTGGATTAGCGGAAGAGTATCATGTTTTTATAATTAGCAATATGCTGGAATATTAAAATTTAAATCTACGGATACATCTTATAAATGCTAATGTTTGGATGGATGGATGTTTGTTTGAAGTTATATCCAGAACAGCTCCGTGGATTTCGCTGAAATTTGGCTCACATGTACAACATAGTTTGGTAGAACACGGGTTACTTACTATGTTTTTATTACCGCATGGACACAGTCGCAGGCGACAACTAGTTAAATAATATTCGGCTTTTATTATGAGTAAGCAATGAATAGGCAATTTGGGACAAAGCAATCCTTGCAGAGTAAAGCGTAACGTTGAGTTGTAATTACACGCTTCGTTAAATTATTTATTTATTCCCTTTTCCTAATAATATAAGGCCTGTTAAAAAAAAGACATATTTTTTCTAACCTCAAAATGTTTGTGGACGTAGAGAGGGCTGTTTTCCATTTGTCCCCTTGACTGTACCTCGTTTGTCCTGAAGAATAAATTAATAATATTTTTTTTTATTGACATATGGATAAAGTTTTCCAAGACAATGGTGTCTTTAATTTCCTATTCTCTATATATCCTTAATAGAAACAAACTTTCATGTTGTATTCAAATTAAAATATAAAGTAGTTTCCTCAAATTAAGCTAATAAATTCGTAATAACATATAAAAACATAAATTTAAATATCCAATCACATATTCAATGAATATGTTAATAAATCAAATCTCGAATTCGACACCAATTCCAGATGTTCTATCGCAAATTACGAACGTTATACGGAATTATGGCAATCGATGGGGGAGGCCTACGTTCAGCAGTGGACGAATTGGGGCTGAATATGATGATGATGATGAAGGCGAATCTTGTACAGTTCTACAGTTCTAAAAAGGTCGTTTCTTCCAACGCTTAAGATTCTAATCGCCTTAACAGTGGTAGACGCCATTAATAATAAAATCAGATGCACGAATGGGCTTTGCCCAGCGCAATACCATGACCACACAGAAGACAGGCGTCACGTGGTAGCAATTTCGCGTTTCGGTTGATGAGTGTACGTGGTCTAATTTTGTCCCCTTTCCCTGTCTACCCTCTTCTTATAAGGAAAGGATGCGAAAGAAGGTGGATTTGACAGAGAAGATCGATTCGATTAAAGGTAGGCAGCGCATCTGCAATTGCGTATATCTATGGGCAGTGGTCGCTCCGCTATTTCGACTACTCCAGGTGACCGCTTACTAGTTTGACACCTTATAATAAAAAAAAATAGAAACGCACGTGGCAAGATAGCGTTATTGTGGTTAGATGTCATCACTACGTCACATGTCAAGGGTCACTTGCGCCACTAGTGACGTAACGTTTACGCAAACCGTACCATACTGTTACAAGCACAAACCGATTATATTTTCAATGTTAATATAATCATCAAGTAATTTTAAACCTTAACACAGGGTCATAAAGTTCATTAGAACTTGGCAATGAATAGAATGAGTTAGGAAATTTGAGAATCAGATGTCGATTATTGGTTAACGTCATTGTTATTGTTAGAACGCATTAGTTTTAGCCTTATTCCTAATAACTGTCGCATCTTTTTTTTAGTGTAGTAATAATATTCTGCTTTCTTAATAAATAAAACTTTCGATAATATTTGAAAATTTCCGCTACACTGTTTCGCAAACCATAAAGGACGAGTTGTAAATGTTTTTTTTAAATACATTTGTCTGGCAAAACGCAACCCACGTACATGAAACCTTTTTGCAGATTTTTTTAAATATAATTTATCGTTATAGAAAGATATCGATATAAATTGAATGACACGAGTATAAAAATTGTTTTATTTATTAAAGAAATCATAAATTCTTAAGTATTTTTATATGTTCTTATACAAAAGTAAACTGCATATCAACACCTACAGTATAATTATGACAAATCACACCTAAACTTTAAGGATCGTTAACAACACTAATGGTGTATCAGATTCGTATCTGTAATGTTTCGCAGCCGGTCATTAATCATTCCTTAAGTATAGTGCTAACCAAACTTTATTGCGGCTCCTGATAATAGTTACCGACATGGGGAAACAATAAACGATTTTGTTTTCCCCAGTAGATGGCGTTACGAGTAGCTGTGTACAAATTAGGAAATAAAATGTGGCCTTTTATCTATAGGAAAACTAAAATAAATTAAAATTTAGTATTACTTGTAGTATAAAGTAAAACATCTATATATAAGTATATAAAAATAAATTGCTGTTCGTTAGTCTCGCTAAAACTAATTATTTTTATTTTTCATTCTACGCGGACGAAATCGCGAGCGACAGCTAGTTGTGTATAAAATTTGATAATTTTCATTGCTGTTATGAAACACTAGCTGCTCCCTAGCTGTTCGAAGCTATCCTCGAGCTCCCATAAAGTTTGAATCGTATAATACTTTCATATGTACGATGTTATTCTGAATACACGATCATTTCCGATGTATTGCGTATTACCATAGAAAGGTAGTAATGGATGATAAATCATGTAACGAGTTATTTTTGTAATTTTCCTGTCACTTAGTCATATCATGAACTATTTAAAAAGCATCAAACCTGTTTTTTATTTCTAATACTCCTTCGTAAACTTCGAAAATGAAAACTTGACTCGTTAAATTATAAACTGTCGATGTTCACAATTGATCGGTGACATACAATGACGTGACGTATTTCATGTCATCGTAAAAGGGTGAACGTTAAATGTATAAGTGGTTGGTATATTTAATTTGTTTACATTCAAGTCTTTAAGCAACAATAAAATACTAGACATTTGGGCCTATAAAAATTGCATACAAAATACAAGATATGCGACTGACTTCTTACTAATGTTGCTAATATTCTAAACGCGAATATTTAGATGAATGGATGGATAGACGCATGGATGGATGTTTGTTGTAAGGTATCTCCGGAACAGCTGAAAAGATTTTGATGAAATTTGGCATAGATGTAGAACATAGTCTGGAAGAACACTAAGGCTACTAATTATGTTTTTTTTTAACTTCGCACTGAGGGAATCGCTTGCGACAGCTAGTATGTAATAAAAATTAGATTTGTTGTATAACGTTATGATGATAACTTAATTAAGTTGTTGCTTAATAAATGCAAGATGAGTGACTTAACCTCTCACTTAAGATAACTTAGGTGATAAAAGGTAGACTGCTGTGAATAATTGATTGAGTTTTATATCATGTTTCGTAAATCTAATGCTTTTAGAATTGATGCTTTAGGTCGATTGAAAGATTAACCGAGACAGTTCCTTATTGCAGTTATGGATACGAATCCATCAACTGGATTGTGTAAACACCGTGTTTAGAGAAAGGGGCAAAGATGCGGCGGGATACTGATGTGATAAACAACGCAAATGGACATCTACAACCCCAGATTGACAGAGGAGATGATAAGGAAGAAGAAAATACGTCTCTCTCTCTCCCTAGCTTGCATCCCACAAGGTAGTGGGTTCAGCTTTCCCAATCCAAAGAAGAAAAGACCTCGAAGAACCTTATTATGATAGCACAATTAATGCTGATAATATTAAGAGTTTTTTTTTTTATTTTTATGTTAAAAAAAGCGATGTCCTTTCTGTAGCCGCAAGTAAATACAATTAACGTGCACTTTGATGTTTCATATGTATATTTTTTTTCGTCTTGACCCAGTTCTCAACAATAATTCGATGGTCACCGATACTTCTAGTCTGGCTAAATGTGAACATTCGTATTGCCTTTCACTCGAACTTTAACTCCATCGATATGCGAAAAGGTTTAAGTTACAAACTGACCACAAGTTAAATACATTTTATTTCTGAACTAACTGTCGACCGCGACTCCGTCTGCGCGGAATTAAAACAAAACAATTGGTTGCAGCGTAATGTTATATAGCCTAAAGCCTTCCTCTATAAATGGACTATCGTACAAAAATTTTCAAATCGGACCAGTAGTTCCTGAGATTAGCGCGTTTAAACAAACAAACAAACTCTTCCGCTTTATAATATTAGTATAGATTAAGATATCTTAGGAGGTTATTGCAAGCTTTTTTTAGTTTTTACCTATCTTGATTTTTGATATCAAATCTTGCAAATTTGATCCACTTCCTGGTTATCGATTAAGCTGATATTTTTATACATGTGTAAATCGCGTGATCGTATATTATGATATGGTACTAATCTGATGATGGAGCTGGAAGGTGGCACTATAGTAACTTCGCAATGAAACGACACAATCTCATAGAGTTTAGGCTCGTTTGAATCGTCTTGAGGAACAGTTCGTCTTTTTTAATTTTTGTTTTTCTTTAATTAACATGAACAATATAACATAGCTTGTTTTTTAAAAATTAATTTTATTATTATAGTATTATTGGATGAAATAAGTCGGGATTTAAAGAAATTTTAAGTTTTTCTTTCGACACTTCTATTAAAATTGGCAAGGCATTTTGAAAGATCGGTCACCACATTCTCCGGGCTTAAATCTCCATATAATTCTATGAAATCCTAGTACTCCTAATTGCCTTGGTATAAAAAATTCTACATGTAATCTGAACGTTAACAGGCAAATTGTTTTGTAACTTAGTTATATAGTTTATTTTTTAATTTTTAAGTGGTTTTGTGTAATTCCTAAAAAAAAAACAAGAAATCGTGTGAAACTACGCAAACATTTTATTTGCTGCAATATACAGGATGATTCATTTGTCCATTTAAGGAAAAGTAGGTTAGATATCGCAATTGCAACCTAGATGATTGTTTGTGTTTCATTACGTATATAAAAATAATGACATCTGTCTGTTGAACATCTTAAGACTTGGGGTTTTAGTTACGGTCAAGTGTTTATTAAATACGAACACTTAGACGAATTAAAATATTACCAAATAAGGCCTGACCTGAATGTGGCAATTTGCTGTTTACTATAAATTTAAAAGTTAAAAATTGTATAATACTAGCAGTCGCCCGCGACTCCGTCCGCGTGGATATATAAAAAAAACTTAATTAGTGTAGCCCACCCATCCATCCATCCAGATCCCATCCATCTAAACATTCGCATTTACAATATTAGTATGTTAAATAAAAAGCAGCTCTTCAAGGCATAAATTCGAAAAAAAAATGAATAAATAGTATCCTATGTCCGTCTCCTGTATCTAAGCTACCTCACCAATTTTCAACCATATCGGTAAAGCCGTTCTTGAGTTATAAATAGTGTAACTAACACGACTTTCTTATATATTTGAACCCTGCAGGCATATTCGAATTTTATAGTACAAGTGCAGTCACACACATCAGTTAGGTTAGGTAATGCGACATAGAATTTGTCTTGTCCCGTTCCATCTACATGCTTATTACAAAAAACATATGATTATGAATGTAGCGTTAGTTCAAAATGTTAAAAAAAACATTTCTTGAGACATAAAACCTTGTAATATGTGATTTATAACTGTAAGATATATTGCAGATGCAATAGAAATTCTAGGCGTAAAGATA